CCTCCCCAGGCTCCAGAAGCTTTTTGGGAGCCTGGGGAGGGCAAAAACAGCCCCCCCCAGGCCCTCCAGAGGCTGGAAACGGTCCGTTTCCTGACTTCCGGTGGGCCATTTTTCCTCCTCCCCAGGCTCCAGAAGCTTTTTGGGAGCCTGGGGAGGAGCGAAAATGGCCTCCCCTGGCCCTCCCTGTGGCCGGAAACTGCCTGTTTCCCGACTTCTAGGCCCGCTAGGTCCTTTTTTCCTGCCCTCCCCGCTCCAGTGGCTTTCCTCCGCCCTCCAAGAGCCGCGAGCTCTGTACTTACTTGGTTTGGAGACTCCTGAGAAGGGAAGGGCAGCATGGGCGAGTCAGGCGAAAATGAGCTAGCCAAGGCGTATGCGCGCTGGAGCAGAGCTAGGGCAATGGCTCACGTGCCTGCTGATATAGCTCCGCGTGCTATGGGTTCACCATCACGGGCGTAGTCCATTGTTGGAGAAGCTAAACTCTTGGTTTATAGCACCATCTATAGTACAACAGATGTTCACATCCAGGAGTTTTGTTTAGTCTACTTGCTCATTGACCTTCAACTGAACAGATGGATGAAAAAAATTACTTCTCCTCCCACTTCACTTTCCTGGCAATGAATTCCGTAAGATATCTCCTCATCATGAATCAACAGGAAAGGCACAAGGAATAATATTGTCCCAAAATATTGGCTTTTTAAAAGTCAGTAGGACTTTCTTTGTTGTTGTTGTTTTCTTGAAAACCAGGAAAAGAAGCCTCTTGGGTGATAAGCAAAACATTTTCAGGGAAAAAAGTAAGAAGATCCCAGTTGCCTTTTGAAAAGCACCTTTGGGACAACCAAGACCTTGGCTGATCGAGAATCTCCACAGACATTGAATAATCTTGGGTGACCTCTTTGTTAAGATCTACAGATTGGCACCTGGAAGATAACACACCTCTAGTCATGATGGATTTGTGACTGCACACAGCTGCCTTGGATCCTCTCAGCAGGGAATTGCCCATCACCACAATGTGTCTCCTTCTCCCTAAGTGGCTCCTGGTTTTGTTTTTTCTTTCTTTTTAGGATTCT